AGTACGGACACATCAGCGATCACAAATTCCCAGCGAAGTGAAATATTACGGCCAAAATTCAAGGTTAGTTTTCGCTTGCCATATGTCTTTATGTCGGATCTATTCACTGCTTTAAGAGTTAGCGCAGTATCGATATTTTATTTTTCGTTGCTCAATGGGGGGACGACGCTTATCTCTGCTCCCGTGTCTAGTAAAAACTGCGCACCCGTTACATAGAATAAACGATTGCTCGTGGGAGCTGCGTTGATTTTCGCAGTCGTTACTGAGATTCGGTGGGATCGTTTAAATTTGCATGGAGACCTGCATTTTCGAGCTCTGTACCCAAATGTTTGATGGTACCAGCATATAGCAGGATCTGGTAGTCCCTTAGAAAATGATCGGTTTCTATCTCTTGATCTGCTGCGCGACCAACTTCTTTTCCTGTCGTTGTGATTTAGACTCGTAAGTTTGTGGCTTAGCGCATTAATTTCCTTTTGCAGGGCCTCGATTCTTTCGTCAACTGTGAAGTTGAGCGTTTGTGGAGTCGCGTGTCTCATTCTCTCGTAAATCTTATCGGCTATTTTAGCGATGTTGTCTATGTCTACATCGCTATCTCCAACAGCGAGGATCTGCTGTACGTTCGGTGGGAGTCGTCGCAACCATAACTGGTAAAATATATTTTTATCTACATTTCTGTCTCCGGTTACGTTGCTCATATAAGTTTTTAATTGCGAAGGCGTTCTATCTCCGATCTGCACTTTACTGAGCAACTGCTCGACAGCCTGTCGGTCGTTTAATGAGAGAGCTTTTACTACTGCCTGTTTCAATACGTCGTACGGATTTACCGCATCCGGCTTAGTCAGGACCTCTCGTACCTTGTGTGCTACTTCATCTGGAAGTAGTGAGCTTGCATAGCCGAACTTATGTCGCTGTAAAAGAATACGATTGGCTACGAAGTAATTTTCAAGTCTAATAATCCGGAGTTGAGGATCATTAACATTAAAGAGGGAATAGTAATATTAATAACTCCCACGGATGGTGACTGTAAAAGATCGATTGTGTCGTTATTTAAAGACATTAATAACAAAAGTAAATAATATGCGAATATAAAGTAATTGCCACTAAGATAAATGGATCGACGAAAACAATGATAATAACAAATGGTACAATTTATAATATAGAACAGACTTACTGAATTGCACCAATATATCAATTGTTCGTGGATAATCGTTATTTATTATGAATATTATCGTTAAGTTCAATAATGTTTATGGGATAATGTACGTGCGATTAAAATTGTGATATAATTAATCCACAATTATGATTATAATCCAGAAAATAATTCGAATAGAAACAGAGTACGTTGAATTTTCGAAATGAAATTATCTCGTCAAAAATTGTTTTGTGTTCGCTAGGCGAGTCATCTAATTCTGTTGCGTCGTGCTCGTTTGGCGGGACCTCCAATTCTGTAGTACCGCTATTCGTTAATCATTTACTTCAATAACCGTTATAATTCTAATCTTAACGGTGCGTAAAATCAGAAGACAAAGGATAGCAGCAACTACAGTTTGTTGTCGAATAACTCAGGTTAGAAAGCTAACAACACCTGAGCGAATATCAACGAGTGAGTGAGCAAGTGAACAGGCGAACAAGCGAAGGAAACGAACGAGGAGCAAGCAAGCGAATAGCAAGCAATTACATAGGCAATTTATAGTCAGATTTAATAAGGGCACAACAAAACAAAACAAAGGCTGATAATAATATTTGCGTGCGTACACTTATGGGGAGGAGTATGAGTCATCGAATGATATTTAAGCAGTCAACATTTTGGATAGGGTGTCATGTGCTTTAGTGGTATAGCAGTGCAAAGAATATGCAAATTGTTACCATCCAAATAACGATGTCTGTTAAGTAAGTTATAAAAAGGGCCTAACCAAAATTGATTGTAGGATGGTTGCTATATGCTGACCCTATCAAAAGCTTTTGAAAAATCAAGGTAAATGATATCAACCTTGCTTTTATAATCAAGGATGGTTGTCCATCTGTCCACAGAGGTCATAAGGTTGGTTATGTAAATATTGAGTAGTCTCGTAGACTGTCGTATATCAAAGACTCCATAATTTTTGAAGGTAGAGAGAGAAGTGCTACTAGTCGGTATCTTGAAGGTTCACTGCGTTGACCTTCTTTGAAAATTGATGTGACGTGAGCTAGCTTACAATCTTCGGGTAATATGTCTCGGTTTAGCGAGTGTGAAAATATCGTGCTAAACGGTGTTGCCAAGATTGAATCCGTTCCCTCAGTACAGCAGAATAGACCGTATCCCGGTCAGTAGAAGTATACTTGTTTCGGTGCTGCAGTTTCCGACACACCAAGTCAGGGCTCATGTTCACTCCGTGAAGTCCTGTGCAGTCGCAGATGAAGCTTGCATCATAAGATCTTACATGAAAGTCACATCATAGTCTACACTGACTCGTCCTATCGTGATGATCGTCGATTTGACGTCTAAAATTTCTGGGCTGAAGAATAACATATTCTATACAAAAAGCAAGAGTGACCACACCAGCATGGCTCAGACATACCGTTTTGATTAATTGTTCTGGCGTTCAGTTTCAGTTTGGAAAGGACAGGAGGCTTGATGGCCTGTGTTAGTCCTGGCAATGATGGTCTCTCAGCTGATCCAACTTTCTTCACCATGTTATATGTGGATTCTCTCAATTCATGTTCAATTTTTAGTATCTTGTGGTTGGATACAATACCACAATAATAACCCACTCGAGATTTGCGTTCAGGTCCTATAAAGGCTTCTACTAGAACACGATTTTACGGAATGATAGAAACATACCCCGCAGTTATTTACTAAACAAATCAAATTGAGCAGCTGAAAATCACTAGTGGCATGCAATCCATTACCTTGTTTCTTTTTGTTACCATTTCTATCACTATTCGAACTAACCAAGTAATCTTTAACAACACAGGGTAAGTGAGGCCCACATTCTGATGATAGTTCTAATTTATTGCCTTTTCATTGGTGGATATCGGTTAGCTATAGATTCTCTTACGGAGGAAGTTCAAAGAAAACCATAAAATCGTCTGAAGCAAACGGGCTGAGAACCTCTGCACTCGACTTCCATGTTTCTTTCCTAAACTTCGTGATGTGTTCACGTCAGTAACTGTCATATTGAGCTACATCGAAAACAAGCTTCCAGAGTGTTTATACACACATGAGTCGTTGTTAAAATTCCTCACGCACACACTATATTTGAAAATAGCCTCGTCTTACTCTTAAGTACATAGCTGTAAATCTCGACACCCTACAATTAGTATTGTTTACTTTTGGCTTAAGACGAAACTCTTATTATCCATCTTATCTCTAATTTTGAATTACTTAAGGTGTCACCCAACCAACATGGCTTTACGGTGTTAATTTTGCTTTAATTAAACTCGACCACTGACATACTACTTAATGAATTTAGGTTATTTCTGTTCAAATCGATCGAATTATTCTGGAGTTTGACTGTAAAGTACGTCTTCAAGATTATCCGGGGCACTATTACCTGTCAGAGTTCAAGTGATTGAACCGGTTGATAGTTAACTGACAGGATTAGGTCCCTCATTTGGTAGGAACTGAACTGAATGATGACACGATAAACTTAATATATCTCCGTCCGTTCACATGGTTCCGAAGCTAGTTTGGGAATAAAAAATACCTACGCTCTTGAAGATAATCTAAGTCTCTCATTTTAAAAGACTATGGTTCACAATTGTGCACAAAAACAGGGTTAATTGCAACAGGACAATCCAGCTTTTATTAAAGAGCAGTTGACAACTCATGACGATCCGCTCATTTTTTCAAATATCTACACTATTTGCTCATACTGAGATTTAACCAAGAAACAAGTCACACGAAGTAATGCTATGATATTTAGAGCAGACTACACCAAATAGACATTTACTACAGATTACATTGCCAGAAACATCTTTAGTAAGCGAAATTAAATGATAAACAAACCTTTTAGTCGGCAGCACATAGTGATCGGAAATTACTCACCAAGGAATAATAAGATCGAGTCGATACAGATATACTCGCTTGCTTAGAAACTATCAAATTCTACTTTTGACAACACCATTGTGTGAAAACACTAATAAACCTACTGTTTTGATGAAATTTGTGATATCGTGATGCGACAATTAAAATACACATTACGATTGATGATGAAAGTCAAATAAGAGTAAGTACTCCAGTGTACAACATATAATATTATTGAATTAAAGTAAATATGTGGATAAAAAGTCACTGGAAATATTCCACACAAAGAAAACAGTTTATTCGATCTAAGACTGTTGAAAGAACGCCAAGAAAGAAAGAAATAACAAACGGACAAATGGTGTTGTAAATAAAAGAAGGAACAGTACAAAAAACTGTAGAAAGGATGATGACTTTGCATTAGTAAAGCAATACACACAATAACGTCATGAATCTTAGTTCACATTATATATATATATATATATATATATATATATATAAGTTAATCTATTTTGATGACAGAATAGATATATCGCAGAAATATGAATGTAGAAGTAAAACCAATTGTCCCCGTTAGAATCCAGAATGTAATAGCCATTAATATACTATAACCAAAGTATATAATTGTAGGGACGAATTCAGTTATACTGAGCTGTGAACGAAGAAAAGTCACAAAAAGATTATCATTAGATTATGGAGGTCACTGTTGATAAGATTATAATACCAAAGAGCTGCAAATACATACCTTTGTCAAAAAGTAGAAGAACGAATATCCGAACAGATAAACTGCCGCTCCACCAGATGTGATGAAAGTGCGCCACCACCAGTGATAATCCTATGTGAAGAAAGTTTAAACAATTATCTACAACATTTCGAAGTTAAAAAAACATTAGGAAACAAAACTCTCGAGATCACAGTGATCAAGAAACTAGAAACACAATATAGCTCTGTATGGTGGACCCGTTGCTACGATATATATATATATATATATATATATATATATATATATATATATATCTGTAGTGTTAAGTAGCTAGATAGTCTCAGGATGTACTATTTTAATTGCATTTTAGAGTATCTCCTGGTGCGGCTTAAAAAAAACTAAGCAAATGGATTAAATCATCTTTTGTGCAACATATATTAGATTCAAGACACTGAGACCTACATGTTTACATTGACACCGTCTAGAAGTCCGCTTACTGTCGTTTCGCTTAATGATTATTGACAACAATGGTTAGTAAGTTCATATTCATAACTCGTTTTTCCTTTAAAAGATATCGAAACAATTTACCAAATAAATGCATGGTTATTGAAAGTAGCCAAGAGGATATCCATCAGTCTCCTTGCATCAAAACATAATACAGACGAAGTTGAGTCACTAGGACTAGTGATTAGATGGGGACTTAATCGATTGAATTCGAACAGTGCTAAAGATTACAGACAGACATAACACTGATACTCAAAGAACGATAAATGCAAATATATTATTATATTGAGCAATAAAACACCCAGAGTTATCTTCCAACAAACCATAGAGTAATAAATGGTTATTATGTTTTTTACACCACATAAAATACATCCACCAACTCTGGTACAATGCTTTCAGACAAGATCGATATGCCATTATTCTAAAGCGCTAATCAGAATAGCAGAAATTTAAATAAGTAGCTGTTAAAACAATTTATTATTTCAGCTTATAACTCCAATAGTTATGGAAGTAAAATACCAAACTAAAACATACCGTAACGCCTAAATCTCAATAATACGAGTAAAAGATACCTAACAGATGTGAGTGACCTACTTACAGATAATTAACTTTACTTTTGCCAATTAAAAAATATAACAATAATAAATACTAAGAGAATCCACAATTATTAACATATAAATATGCCAAAAACACCCAACCTAGTTGAGAAATAAACATCAAAATATACACAAAATACTTTCACAAGGAATACAACTACCGAAATTTTACATTTTACTCTTCACACCTCCTTTAAACTATGAAAAAAGAAATGAACATTACATAATAAGTCTTCAATTTTGGAGAGCGACATTTAAAATGATGTACGAAGATTCTCAACTCAGGTGGATGTTTTTGATGTTCTTGTATTTTCTCGAAACTAAATACTTCAATCACAAAACATTCACTTTGTTCTAGACAACATAATCAATGTTTAATCCTGCACAAATCACAGTTTAACAATCAAAATCATAGAACGTAGTGACACCGAAAGGATAATGATATTGTTTTGAAAAATAAAGATATAATCGACTGTAATTTGACAGAATACAGTAATAATTGTCTATCTTTACAAGTGCTCTAATGTACTATCATACTGAGGAAGTATAATTTTTGGAGAAATCTTACGAAAGATTATTGTACTCTTATATTATCCTAGTCATAAGCTTTTATTTAGGGCATAAACTACTTATCTGTGTCCTATCTTCTTTAAGTTACTGTTAATTAGTTGTGAACATATTACTTAGTTCTCTTCCACTTACCAAGTAGTTATGCTGATATTGTTTATGTTCAAAATAACTCTATCTTATCATACTAGTTTGAGTTATGAATTGGTCTATACAAGAGAAGTCTAACTGCTTACTGTGTTGCTATTTTCGTCTAGCTATAGGGAAAACGAGTAGAGAACTGCATCCTGAATTGATAGGTTCTCAGTATTGATGTCATCCGTTACTTCACTGTCATTGAGTTGTTAGTCAAGAACAAGTCATTGATCCTAAACATGAAATCTAGGCAAATGAATTAATAATTTAATTAAGTCATACATCTGTTCCTAAAACGATAACCTGGTCTCAAAAAGGCCTTGATACAATACATGAGCTTGTTTTTATTGTCATCACAAAAAAGGAAAATTCTCGAAATCAGTAACATATTTAACATGAATGACTAATAAATCAGTTTCAGAGAGATAAGAATAATCTTGTATAATAATAAAATATATGGTAAATTTCTTACTTCACTGCATAACTGAAAATACGTAGCAACAATCGCCACTTGTGCACAACAAATAATTAGTATGATGAATACAACGAATAAAAATCCGAACAAATAGTAGAACTGACTCTCCCAGATAGCCTGTTCAATTTAAAAGAAAATAATGCAGAATTATATAGACATAAGATAGTATAATAATAATCATGACTAGTAGACAATACATAAAATGATTATAATTTCAATTTTTTAATGAGCAGTAGAAAAGTGGACTTACTACCTGAACTACTCAGTGCTCGACCAACAGGTGTTGGGGATGTCAAATCCCCAGAACTTACTTGATAAGTGGCTTAATTTTGTAATTTTCTTTTGAAAATTTAAATTTAGCTGTTTTCGCGCCAAAAGCGCTCTTTTTACCTACATGTCATAATTCCCAGTTGTAAACTATCTTAAACGATACTGGCCCGACCGTTGCTGCTACCTTGACGTGGTGGTCGGGCTTGCCTATCGTGATGAAGCAATCGAGCTATGCTGGCTGGAACAATCGTTCCTCAAGGTCCTACCATGCCAGACAGGTCGGTTGAAGAGCGGTGAGACTAAAAGCAGCAAACCCAAGGTCCGAAGGCGAAGTCGTACTGTCGACTGTACAGAGGTGTGACGGCAGTAAGGTGTTTCCTTCAGACAACCAGCATGACAGCGATGCTGCCTTCCCACAAGGAGGGGTGGGGTTGGAAAAGGTTGACCCTAAAAATGCACACCTCACCTTATTCCACGGATATCCGTCTCCGGCGGTAAGGTCCTCTGAAGAACCGAGCTAACACAAAAACTACCCACAAAAAGGTCGTGTGTGACCGACCTCAAGCAGTTGTCCCTTGGGCACTGCGGTCACGCTCTCAGGTCATTAAGACCACTTCTAACCCAATTTCCTTTTCAGGTACCCCCAGAAGAACCCTTCCACGGTGTGGGCAACCGGGAAGTGATAACTGCCCTCATATCTCTAACAGCAGTCAAGGCCACTATATTCATAATCAATCTCCTTCAATTCCTGCTATTCCTTCTACCTTGACTTTCAACACTAAACTTCCTCTCTCGGTTTCCTCCTCAAGTGTCACCATGGCCAACGATTCTAGTGCGCGAAACGCTGTCCCAGGTCTACTTAAGCCTCGCTCCAAACTACACATTGGAGCCTTCAACGTACGTACCCTAGGTCAAATCGGTCAACAGGCATCCTTAGCTAAAACCCTAGAATCTCGTACCATTGATGTATGCTGTGTCTCCGAAACACGCATACAGGATCCCAGTGTGGTCATTCACTTGACCTCACCTCGCCAAAGTGGACAGCCAACGAAATACACCCTCCGTGTATCTGGCGACCCGTTGGCTAGTTCTCGCGGACTTGCAGGTGTAGGCATAGCACTAAGTACAAGGGCAGAACAGGTACTACTAGAATAGATCCCCGTTAACAGTCGCCTGTGTGCTGTCCGGCTAAATGGCTCCGTAAGAACTCGGAAGGATAGGGACACACGTCGTTGCCTTTTCGTCGTTTCTGCCTACGCTCCCACTGACTGAAGCCATGGTGAAGTGAAAGATGACTTTTACAGAAAGCTCTCTGAGCTTCTTCAGAAAGCTAAGTGCTCAGACATAGTAGTCGTAGCGGGTGATGGAAAAGGCAGCGGCTGTAGGCAACACCAGGCAATTATTCAGACTAATAAAAGAAACCGGAACTAAGAAGTCAAGTGTAAGTGAGACAATCTCCGAAAAAGACGGAACCCTTATCTCCTCTCAACCCAAACGTTTAGAACGATGGGCGGAACACTTTAAGGAGCAGTTTAGCTGGCCTTCAGCTACTGCACAACTACCCACTTCCCAGAAAACCTGAATGGAACATTGAAGTAGGCCCCCCGACCCTACTTGAAGTTCAAAAGACTATAGGTAATCTGAAACGAGGAAGAGCAGCTGGTCCAGATGAATTGGCTCCAGAGGTCTTTAAATATGGTGGTCCGATTTTAGCGATTAGGTTGACTAATATTCTGGCTAAAATCTGGGAGACGGACGTAATCCCATCCGACTGGTCACAATCACTGATTGTCCCAATATATAAAAAGGGGCCAAAATCATCCTTCGATAACCATAGAGGGATAAGTCTGACTAACATAGCATCTAAAATACTAGCCTCAATAATTATCAGGCGCCTAACTAAGACTCGTGAACAGCAAACACGAGAAAATCAGGCTGGCTTCAGATCTGGTTGTGGCTGTATCGACCACCTATTCACCATTCGTCAAGTTTTAGAGCACAGACACGCTTATCGGCGTCCGACAATGATAGTTTTTCTTGACTTGAAAGCAGCGTTTGACTCTGTAGACCGAGAGGTTCTGTGGCAGTGTCTGTCATTGAAAGGTGTACCTGAGAAGTACATAAACCTTGTGAAGGCTCTTTACTCGAACACTACCAGTCGAGTGAGAGCTTATGGCGAACTGTCATATGATTTTACAACCTCAAGTGGTGTCCGTCAAGGCTGTCCACTATCCCCATTTTTGTTTAACTTCATTATAGACCTGTTGCTGGAAATAACACTTTCTTCGACTGAATTTACAAGAATTGATCTCCTACCAGGGGGACCGCTAAGCGATTTAGAATACGCAGATGACATAGTCCTGTTTGGTGAAGACACTGACAAAATGCAGAGTCTTCTGTTGGAACTCAGTAATAATGCCAGGATGTTTGGGATGCGATTCTCCCCATCCAAATGTAAAATGTTACTCCAGGACTGCCCTGCGTCAACACCCGAACTAAGGATAGGGAGTGAGGTAGTCGAACGCGTCGACAACTTCACTTATCTTGGAAGTCTGATCAGCCCTAATGGGGGTTGGTGTCTGACGAAATCTCAGCACGGATTCGAAAGGCTCGTTTGGCTTTTGCCAACTTACGTCACCTATGGCGAAGACGAGATATCCGTCTATCAATTAAAGGACGAGTATACTGCGCATCAGTTCGCTCTGTTCTACTTTACGGTTGTGAAACATGGCCATTAAGAGTAGAAGATATTCGTAGGTTACTAGTATTTGACCACAGATGCCTTAGAAATATTGCACGCATTTGCTGGGATCACCGGGTAAGTAATAGTGAAGTTAGACGCAGGGTATTAGGGAACGATGGTAAATCAGTTGATGAGGTCATGAATCTTCATCGACTGAGATGGTTGGGCCATGTGTTACGTATGCCTGAACACCGATTACCACGACGCGCTATGATGACTAGTGTAGGGGATTGTTGGAAGAGAGTTAGGGGCGGCCAAACCAAAACGTGGCATCAGTGTTTGAAGTCACTAACTTCTAGTCTGAGCCATGTTGACAGATGCAGACTACCTGGTTGGGGTCCGCGTGACTATCGTAACCAATGGTTGGAGACTCTAGGTGACATGGCTCAGAATCGATCACAATGGCGTAGGTGTATACACTCTTTATCTTCCTTTAAACCTTGAGACTAAAATTGCTTCATATCTCTCTTCCTTCCTATACTATATCCTTATATACAACTTATAATTTATATACTACTACCACCACTACATTAATTACTTCTATGAATCCGGTGTTGATCTTGTTGTGCTAACGAGGTATGGCAACTTGGACCGATGCATAAATGTGCCTGGTCCTACGTTGTAGCTGACTGACTAAACGACACTGGTCCATTGTTTCTTTGAGTGTGTTATTTTATAATGATGCCCAAGGACAATTTGTTGCTGTATATATACGATTTATTACATTCAACAACAAAATCTAATACTAACGAAAAAGTTAACACAGGATTACTATTGTGGGGTGAGCTACTTATATCGACATCAGTAGGATATATCGTGAGTCAGGAATAGAATATTTGGAAGCAGAAGATTGAGAAGATCGAAAAGGGAAGAACAGAAACAGAAAGCAATTGGTATGGAAATGCAGGACCAATGAAGCCAGAGATAATTAATGAATATTTTGCAAATGAAGTATTAGAGTATTGCTTTTCTATTTTACCAATTAACTTTGTAGTTTTGTACTGAATACATACTCCGTTGTCCTCACCGGTGTTCTCATTCACTACACTGTAACTAACCAATCACGAATTTTAGTAAAGTTGTAATGTGGTCAGCAATGGAATCCGGGACATGTCGGTCAGATATACCTCGATCCGAGTGCCAACGAATACACTTGCAATCGGATTCAGTAACTTTCGCTTCGAATCCCAACACATTATGCACTGAGCTATTGAATTCAGACAGTTACTAACTTGTACAATAGGTATGAAGTTATATGTGATAGTAACATTTGTGAAGTTAAAAATTGAAAATTATATAAGAAATTAGAAACGAATCAAAGTCAGCTTGACCAAAGTTTTAAATAAGTATACAAAGCATATTACCATTTTTGAATATAAAAATACGTATATGGTAATGAACTTACATTGTATATGAAGAAAACTTCGATAAAAACTGCACCAAATGGTAGAGCTCCAGAGTAAAGTGTACTGTAAATAAACGAAAACGTGTAAATGAAAGACAACATTTGTAGATCATCAATATATTCACGTCTTTTTAAATGATCCAGAACTATGTTGATTAAGAAATAAATGTTTTATGACCCGCTAGAAGGGCTACCAACTTTGCCTAAGGTTATTATTCAGAAAGAAATGGCAGTAGTAATGATGAAGAAACTGTTGGCTGAGTATACTGTAACACATACAAACAATACCTATGCTTATGATGAATAATAACTAACTTTATTTGTTTCTACTAAACCCTTAATGCCTAATAACAACATAAATTATGAAACAGTTCTATAGCACATGAGCGATGATTTGAAGATCCTTATTATTAGTGTCATCAAACTATTCATGTATTCAATCTTTAAAATCACTCGAGATACTACTTTTACTAACCATAAGGTAGTTCTCATAGCAAAAAACGATAATACACTCTACATATTTAATTTCACTAGCGGAGCAAAAATATTTATGAATATTTAAACTTTATGGATGTATCGAAATAAAAACACGTAGTTTTCATGTTGAACAGTTTACAAGAATAGTGAATCAACTTTTACATCGACTTATTCATGAAACGTATTGGAAAAAGTTGCATAAACCATCTATTTATGGTATTATTTATCACCACATGAAATCATTCATAACTGATATATTTACAACCACTTTAGAAAAATCCTAAAAGATTATGAAGAAACTTTTCAGTACAGTGTATTTCGTAAGTCATTGGTATATACATATATCTATAACGTTTAGAGGTTGGCCTAAACTATATTTATATTAAACAAACACATTTATTTGACTTAATAAGCGATTATGTTAGAGAATTCAAGAAAAAGTTTCTGAATGAAAGTCCATTATCCACTTAGCCAAACCAGTTAAACAGAGGCTTAGTCTTAAGTGCTGCTAAAGGTGACTGAGAGATTGTTACTTCCCGGTTGTATCCACCATGGGGAAAAAAGTTCAATTTAATAAGGGAAAGGGATTAGTAGTTGTCCTGGAGGCCTGGAAGCGTGACAGTAGAGCTTAACCGACAGCTTCTTGAGACCCGTTACATATAGCCTTATGGTAGCCATCTGACTCCAATGAAATATAAAAACTTGATCTTGATTCGTATTTATATTCTTAAACTTGCCGCTTTGGTCAAAGCAATATCAAAAGCGGAATACGAAATGTTTTGAGGATATATATATTTCAGATATGGACATCAGCAGACAAACCATGGCGAATAAAGGTAAACAAATGAATGAAGTATGGAAGTTGGCTAGCAGCCAAATCACTGAATGAATTTGTGACGCAGTCTTTACATATGGCACAGTAAACATATTTCCAGTCGGATACATGGAAAACGTGTACTGGAATAAGTAAACGCAGTCAATGAGATTACCAAGGGTATATTTGTCTGGTTTTATGTTTATTTAGAACAAAAGAAATTTAAATAGGAGTTTGTAAGAGGAAATGGTTTGTTGCAACCTTTTTGTAAGTAGTTCTTGATGTGTTAGTTCCGTACTTGTAAAGCCTTAATAATGGAAACGAAAATTCGTGAGGAAAAGTTAAGGTGTGATTTTTTGGTCCCCTTCTTTTCTAACTCTTCTTACCAATATTTTGGGAAGGTACTACTGCTGCAGATGCTGGTTTTCTGAGGCAAACACCTTACTGCCGCCACACCTAGATATAGTCAGTAGCAAAGCTCCAACTTTAGACTTTAAGTGTCCGAATTTGTGGAGGGAGTTAATGTTCAAGAAAATAAGATTTGACACAAATATACATCAGCATAGTGGGAGAAGAGCAACAACAGATAAGAAAAAACGGAAATGTTATCGATAAAATCGAGGAAATGAAAGAGATAAGTTAGACTTTGAGACTGAAAGATGTGGATAAGATAGAACATAAGTCAGTCAATAAGTTATGACCAAGGTAAAAATTGTCACGAAAGTGCACTGGCCGAAATTTTCATACCACATCAGCACAGCAAGATAAATGAATAACAAATGAGTTTAACTAATAGTAGAAAAGGATTTGAATGAAGATAAACGATAAATGTGTACTGTGTTCGGTTTAAAACTTCAAAAAGTGTCTAAATTACTGGAATTTAATTAAATGTCAACGTTTTATGACATTATTTTAGCTTATTGCATCTAAGCTGATGGGAGAACTTACGATAGTAACAAATTATGACAAAATCTTTGGTCTGGAACTGCTCGAGGAATTTGGTTAGTGCGAATAGGTTGTTCGAATCCACGTTTTCTATAACCGAAGAAAAATCCGATATAAATTAACGGTAATGAAATCCCTAGCCATAATGACAACAACGCAAGCAGTGTAGTGAATGGAATAGCTGCAGAAGATCCTTTGTACCAGATAAAAGTATTTATTACCAGTCCAAATACAAGCACGATTCCTGGAAAAAGTAATCCAGTCTAAAGAGAAGTTTATAAAAACAATGAACAGACATTTAATAATTAGAAATAATTAAAACAAACGTTTTCTTATTTAAGTTGTGAGTTGAATGAAACAATACAAACGATTAAAAACATCTGAGGTAATGAGTCAATAGACAGTAAATGTCAATACCATTTTATGGCACGAATTAAGAACTAAGTTATGTTTTACCAGGTGCAGTATTTTGCAGAAAAAAATGAAACCTAAAAACTAAGCACCTTTGTGCATCCAGGTACTAGAAGTAAAAAAGGCAGAGGACAGTTTGAAACTGCAACACAATAGCTGAGTACGCAAACCGCTGATGTATAACTCTGGTGTCAATCGATTGCAAAATAAACTGACATTGTTGATAGGGTTATAGATCTCTAATACTAAGTAATTCCAAACTAGGACACAATAGGTGTTAAGTGGTCTGTGATTTTCAATAGTTCTTTGGCTGGTGTAAATCTTTGACAAAAAACTTTCACATTAATCTTTACAACCTGCTCAATTAAATGAGTTACTTTTATCAATATAAACTTTCTACATAACTATTAGATGAATTTTGACTATGTATGATAAATGACTTCTAAAATCTACACTTTGGGATACAGACTGACCAAAAGTTTTCAATAAGCTAGAAAATTCAATAAAACCACAAACCACTACTAATCTTGTGAAAGTACTTATTTACTAAAAATTATATGGGGAATCTCATAGCCATAAATTTTTACAGTCAATTATTAAAGTGTAAATCTCGAACTTTTAAGTTAGAACATAGTAGTTGGACATCTTGACGAAACTTTAGGCCGACAAATTTTCCTACAGACAACAGTTTTCGCATACATGAAAATTTTCTTTAAATCAAACGAATCTAATACCTTTTGTCTATTAATTACATTTGATTATAATACTGAATTTTAACATTTACCTAACGGAATTTTTGTAATAAACTGGATAACTAGACCACTTTATAAAAAATAAAAATTGTCTTTTAACCATACAATAGAAAATCCATTTTGATTAGTAGAAAAATGGTTATTATAATATCATAATCAATGAAATTTACCTACGAAGTACTTTCACAGTTAAAATGAGTCATTTTACTGATTTGAAAAAGCTAATAAACTTTCGGTAAACACTGTATACTCATTATGAATAACAAGCTTTGAACAGACACTCACTGTATAGTGACAAAGTCCTCATTCTCTAACAGAAATCGATATAATTTATAGACTATATTTCTTAACCGATACTCCCTAATCAGAGTTATATATGCCCATTCCTTCTATCCTATAAACTTTCCAGGTATATATGCGAATGTTGATGAAAACACAAAAATGTAGACAAATCTTCGAACTCAACGAATGAGATATCTTCTTTGTAACAATTCAGTGGTAACCTGCTCCATTATGACCAAAAAGAGATTCGATATACAAAATATCAGTTAAACACTGTTCTTTGTTAAATAATTATGGTCACTGTCGTCCTAAATAGCTCAGCAGTAACATTTCTGACTACGACGGAACAGTACCAGTCCTCCTCAGACAGAAAGCATAAATTTCCTCAAGACTGTCGAGAGACCTTGCTAATTACATCAAATGGTACGGAACTTAGATTTAGAACTTCCTGCCGAACAATTTAGATGACCTAACATAAAAAAAGTGCACTAAGACATTGAATCACTTAGACTAGTGGCTACATTGCTCTATTGATCAGTAGTTATGTTTAAATGTGACACTGACTAACCAATGTAATAACGGAACCATTTTTTGTAGTACCATATTATTTGTCACTTAACAGTTGATTTTTATTCAGTACATGAACTTTAGATAAACGGAGTAGAATAGTAAAAGCGAAATGATCATGAAATAGATTCACAAGGACTTTATTCCTTAAGCAACTTTTAAATAGGAATCAAATATTAATTATGCTTAACTGAATGCATAACAAGCAATAAATAGATGGGGGCTAATCTAAAAGTGAGTAGCCGGATAATATTAAGAATTTATTAAAAATAAGGTAGAAAATTCATTACACCTCATTATAAATTAACTGATTAACGAAAGTTAGTATTCAAATACTGATTTGAGCATGAGAGAATTTGAGAACATTTATTGAAAGACTGACGAAACTGAATTGCAGAGAATTTCGAACTACTGATACAATGATCAAGTGGATTAGACCGCTGAACTATGTCTTACTAATTGATACTCGTAAATAATAAACCATGAATTTAAAATAAAGTTCAATATTTTATGATATATATATACGTAAATGGATTTTGAGTTTTGAAGTGTCACAAGGATAAATTAGACTTACGGCTATTGCGGTCGACTTCCAAAATGGCCCACGTAAAGTCTTATATAATCTTCCAGCAAAATATCCAGCAAAGAGTCCCATAAACACGTATGTGAATATGGCTGCGTTCATAAGTGCACCACGAGAAGCTGGTGACAATGTCCCAAGCATAGCAAAAACTAGAACCAATTGTATTCATTACAAAATAAAACAAAAAAGAGCGGTAAAAAAACCAGTAGATTTTATTTTGAAAGTGTTGGTCAGATGTAAGAAAATTGTTACGCAGAAATTAGATTGAGAGTTGTGTTTTGAAATAATAACACTATAGTATTTAAGAATGAGTTAGATTAATGATAATTTACTTTGTTAGACAAAAATATTAAACACATACTATACCACGAGGAATCACCAGACCTATAAAAATAACTATCGGAATGTTTTGGACAAATTATTATTTATGTTTCATATCTTTCACATAATGCCTATACTCTTACTACTTCTACCAATATGGGATTTGAATCGACAACGGCATCTGTGTGCTAATGTGATATGACAACTCGAACTGATGTACGTACGTACGAAGTTCTACGCTGTGACTGACTGACTTCATATCATTTGAGTCGCATACAAAAAACTTTGTTTTTACAAACTTCAGAATTAATATTAAGTTATACACTAATTGAGAAATGAAACTGAACTTAATAATAGTATAATATTATTCCTAGCAAAATTATGAAGGTTATCAAATGGGTAAGAAAAATATGTGGTCAAAGTTACTGATAAAGAATATTTATGAATAATAATTACGTGGCTACAGTATACACTGTATAGAATGAGGTGATCTCCTTAGATTAAAGTAATAGTTATATAAATGATAAATACAATACTCAAAGTTGAGTAAAAATGTAGAACTATCAAAGCGCTAAACAACTACTAAATAAAAGTTTGTTCCGTTTCTAAAACAAAATTCAACACACTTATGAAACTTGAATTCGAACAATTAATCCGGCATCAAGGAAGGAACGATCAATATAACTTATCGTAGTGAGTAAAACGTTCTTGAAACTTCCGTATTTCTTTTGTCGTAACTAAGAAATATAGAAGTTTAAATAACCCACTCAACCATGTTCACTTTTGTTAATAAATGACTCAAATTTATACTGCACAATTCTCTAGCAAGTGGAAAAAACTGGACAGGAAATTTCAATCCAAGTATACACGTTCGAGAAATGAAATAACACGGGAGATCTAGAATAACAGTTCATCTGTTCATGTGGTCTTAATACGTCACCGACTCTGGTATTAGCTGATCTGAGATGCTTACAGTTTTAAAATTTCCTCAAAGAATTTAATAGGGACTATGGTCGAGGTCTATCACAAATTATTCACTAAATTCCAATTTTAATTAAGTTTATTATTTATCAATTCTAAATAAATACAACTTATAAATTGTTTCAACTTAAGGACTACCTTCGCTGATATTCACATTAACACTTTTGAAATATATAAGAATAAAAGTTTGCTACAAACTTCACTTTGTTATAGTTTAATACCTAAACAGCATTTTTAAACAAGATAACTAACACTATCCGAACCTTTACCAATAATATATATATATATATATATATATATATATATATATATATATATACTTTTATAACAACTCTCTTTATATCTTGATGAATAAACAAGACTATAGATAATAATGTGACTGAATAATTTTACAAAATCAAGTATAACGAATATTGTGGAATGGAGTAAATTCATTTTGTTTCGTATGCTCTAAGTCATTCAAAAACGCACTGATTTCTACAAGTAGATGAAATGAATTTTATACATGATAAAAAAGTCATCATACATTATGTAAATATCAGTCGTCACAACGTCTGCTTTTTCGTTATCGTGAAGACGTTATATGAATCGTACTACTTGAAAACAGTAAATTTTTACAGTTTAAGTGGACGAAGTTCATGAACTAATTGATGTAAAGATAGATTTCTGGTAAACCTACCAAATATAGCTACTTCCACTTGAATCAATATACAGATGACAAGCAATTTCTTAGTGTTACATTAACCACAGCTTACTTTTTATGATCTTTAAGTACATAACAACTAGAATAAATTATTCATCAATCATCCGATTAGAAATATTAACAAACTATCATACGAATCCACTGAAGATGTACAATTCTGAAAATGTATCTAAGGTATTAAGATTGTCAAAATAGTAATGCAGAAAAGGAACGTTTCGATGTTTACTATTCAGCTAGTCAGTTTTAATAACCATAGAACCTGAAACAATTGTACGTTAGCTAAAGCTCCCACACCAAATCAGCACAAAAAATGAAATTAACATAGTAAATAGAAAATGATTCAAAATAGTTGTAATAGGAATGATACAAGGAATGATCAATTCACATGTTACACTTCAGATTAATACAGAAAGGAAATTAACAAAATAAAGAACAGATAAACCAAAGTAATTGTTTTTCACAATGATATACATCGTGTAACAAGAAGCAATAATCATAAATGACGACTGATTAATGCTAGAAAATGTCATTTTGACATACGCTATAAATAAACACTTAAGGAATCCACTTTTTTTCAAATTCCTGTCAAATAATTTATTCATTATCACAGAGGAGGACATTAGCAGAAAATTTATCAGAATACGGTATGAAGAATTTAACATTTTAGTCAACAGTAAAAATTCAGAATCGGTTGGATTCAATGTAATTAACAAATAACTAATACTTAAGTGTACTTTTTAAGTAGAAATTATAAATCAGCCAATAAAATCATGAATGTAAATTTAATAAGAAAAATATAGTGGGTATGATAATTGAAATATAAATGCTAAGAATAATTAACTTAAGGTGAATAGATCAATGGATTCAATAAATGTTTATTAGTACTGATCATTGGAATTCAAACTACTTTTAACAACTATAGTTTTGCTTCAAAAGAACCATAAAATAGTAGGAAACAATGAGTGAAAATTAATAACTGTTATACACGGGTAAAAATTCATTTAGTATTGTTTGTTTGAATCTTCACATCGATGTGTTAGGACTGCAACTGGTCAGTCTCGAATTGGCATATGTGCATACTGTGAGTATTGCCTCGATATAGCCTTAATTCACAAGCATTGTAAGAAAAGATTGATAGTGACCTAGCAGTGGAATCCAAGATGCGCGTTTCGTCCAATTTGGGACACGTCATCTGGATGTACCTGCATCTCAGAGTTGATGTTCACTTTGGGACTCGAACCAAGTACCTTTTGCTTTAAACGCCATCGCGTTATCCACTCGGCAACTGAGTCCTGATAGTCATACACGGGTACTTTATTTATTTATGTCAACACAAATATCGATACAAAGTAGCCATACGATAAGCAAGATGAGATTGTGAATAGTAAGGAAAGGAAGGTAAGCATAATAAAAGAAAACAAAAATCAATGAGGAAATAAAAATAAGTGAATGGAAGTAGTGAGCAATAGCAGAAGCAGTTCAATTGGGAAAACACAAACGGAAAGAATTTTTTCCAGTTAAATAATATCCTCTCAAATTTATAAATACAGTAAAAGAAAATTACGACAGTAGGGCCATCATTGTCTTCTGTTCTGAGCTACTTCTCAAGCCAATGTGTTGTACTACCTATAGGATTCCAACCAGAGGCTTGTGAAGGACCGAAAGATCACAGTCTCGTGCCCCTTTATTTCATATCACGGCGCCGTGTCATAAATTACATAAATTTACTCACCAAGTCTCTGGTTCTTACAACTGAAAAGCGCATTTTCTTAATCATCCTCATACTACAACGTAATATGGTTATTTTACGGGAATTAAATAATTTCACAGTTTACATCTCGGGCTTATCTTAATTAGAAAACCATTTAAGACCAAGAACCATTGAACAGCTGTTTTATCCTGGTATGGGACTACTCAGTAGTGTACATCCAAGACCCCTCTCACAGGGGATTTAACCCAGGACCTTCGGGTCTCGCAGTGAACCCCTTACCTTTAAACCACTAAGCCGACATCCAATAGCTCACATGTCTAATATGAGATAATTAGCTACCATCATCTTATGACCCTATATAATGGGAAATTAACTAACTGTTCCATCTTTTCTGGTTGACCACGCTTTACTCTTAAACTATTAAATATATCAAATAAATGTGTTATTATGCTACTTGACCATATAGCTCCATGGGACTGACGGGAAACTCCTCATCGATTAATAAAATGTTGTACTTAAACATGTATAATGGTCAGAATGCTGGATTTGGCAACCATGTATATCGTAAATAGTTACTAAAAATAAACAATATGCAATCGGAAACAAACATTGGACTATAGCGTTACTTACATATTACAATAAAAACCATGAAGAACAACTGGACACCAGATCCAAACAAAGCTGTAAATAATCGCGTATGTCGTGGCGGTCGAAACACATCTCCATGTACCAATTTCCATCCTGATTCCTCTAAAATATCCTCCTATAAGGTAGGCAAAAGTGACGAGTATTATTCCAAACAGTTTTAATAGGACGCATCTTAAGAAAATTTGAAGATCTACTTACTACATCATCACTGCGATTATATTTGGCAATATCTTTCCTTAAAGTTCGGATAAGTATCATGGCTATGACACCTAAAATGGGAAAAGTAACAAAACACATGAAGTCGGGTATGATAACATAATGAAAATAATTGGAATTTAGATTAATTTAGAAAAACCTGGCTATTTAACTAAAGCAACTAAACAAATTGATATTTAATAGTAATAATAATAACAGTAATCTGACTGTCAGAGAACAATGAACAACAGCATACAGAACCTTGTTTTTAAGTGCAAATCATGCTGGATTAAAAATAGGAACAATTTCGAATGCTTCTGTTTTGTGGCTGTTCTGTACAGAAGCATGACTTAATGAGGTAATTGGAGACGACTGTCTTGAATGGTGATTCTGAATTTTTATTAATCTTATAGATTTCCTTATTCGATATTTACTTCCTTACTGTCTACTGATGTTCGCTTGCTTCATCTTCCATTTTAATTTCTTTGATTTTATGCATATACTGTCAAAGTTAAAGTTTATTGGACCAACATGTGTTTAAAGTATTAAAGGAGAGTAAACCCGCTTCACTGTATTAACAGTAAAAAAATCTGCTTGACATTGGTCATTCTAAATGGTCAATGTACTTCAATTAAATCTCATTAAAGTCAGTCACCAAACAACAGCGTTGAACCTGATGCTAAAAGATTTTGGTTGAGTCACCTCAGAAGTCTCATAAAGCATTGCTTTACTGGCTCAGCACATTGTATAAGTTTGATTACCGTTGACATAAAGGATGTCCGGGCTGCTAAGATTTTTGTCAATATTTTGAACCAGCATAACAGCTTTCATGATCACTCAAACTATTTTTTAACAATAAATTGCGATTTCCATAATTACGCTCTGTGAATTAACGAAGAGTAAATTCCACTAGCTAAAAGTATCGCGATACCAACTATTTGTACGTTACTGAAACATAGATTTAACCCGTAAAGTGTGGCTATTCCCGCGACGTTGTATTAATGTGCTGACTTTATGAGGAACATAAATGTACGAACTCTCGTTCATGGTACGGAAAATTCACTTTAACTATATTCAACCTAATCGCAATAGGGGTGTGGCCCCCGAAGAAAACCACCTGCTTCAGTCTGGGCACCTGTCCAGTATCCCAGCCCTTACACAAATCAAATGAGATTTGTGAGGCGCATATTTATTTGGTGCTTCCTTGTACCAATATTTATGTGTTTAAATAAATAAATAAATAATCGCAAACCACAACCAAGTGCTTAATAAGAAAGTCGCTTCAGTCTCAACTTGAACATCGTGAAGATCTAATAATTGGGACACAAAAGAATAAAAAGTTGTTTGAAGGGTGTCGTTTTCGCATTTATCCCAATATATAATTACCGATCAATGTTAACCTTGGATCTCCCTGCACTTATTGTGATTTTCGAAGCCATTTTAAGCACCTAAACCAATCTTAACAACAAAAGTATGCCAAGCCTTCATTTTTAATTGTATTTCTGCTTGTAAATTTGGGTTATTTGTGATTAGTGAGGTCTCGAAATGGAATGAATTCATTATATCCCATAAACCTTTTTGTAGTTGGTTTGTTTAGAAATTTTGAGCACACCTTGTCAAAGAAAAAAAGGTGCAGAGAAGTATGCCAAGATGATTAGGAAGAATTCAAACAAACGTTTCTTGAAGAAGTAAAGATGAAATCATATTACTTAACTTGACAAAGATGTGAAGTGAGCAGTTAGGTATATGTGATAAGATACTGACTCTAAATACTTGAAAGGATTGAAACATATGAGTATCGAAAATTCTATTCCCATGGCATTGCGCCTTACAGAAAGCAAGAAACTTTCAAACATAAACCTGATACGAAAAATAAATGTACAATTGATATCGAATAGATGAATCTTGAGCTCTGAAATGGCAAAAGACTATCCCGTTTTTCTCCACAGATATTAACACAGAAAATAGCTGAAAACCATTGAGAACTAACATGCAACAAATTACCTTACAAAGCCAACAAATTTTAAACTGCACAAGCAATTTTTAGTTATTGATTTAAAAAGACTATAGAACTATATTATATTCCTAACCCTACTTAAAGCCTGTAGTCTCGAAACAATATGCTTCTCTTGCTGTTATTACTGCGTTTTTCTTTTTGCTGATCTGCCGTTCTACTTGTAGATCTCCACTCATCTTTTTGATGTGAGATGTAGAAGTTTGGACTGGCACATATGTGCCGACACCCTCCCCGATTGTTTTTACTAATCCTTTACAGCTTACAATCGGTATAATGAGTAATAATCTAGAATATCTCATAACTAGGTTTTTCAATTGTCAACTAGATCTGAAACAAAACTACCTAGTGCATAGTACTAAGTAGGATTGGTAGGGATATGTTGAGTAAGGCTTATATTGGATCAAGATACAGGAAAACTTGCATACTACAACGACTTCTGTTACTTCAGAAAGGCTAGGTAATGAGAATATACTTTTATATTTCAAACGATTGGTGGTACGAGTTGGAAAACGAGGTCACACGAAACAACCTTCAAAGTGTCATATTATATCAGAGGGAAAGGAATGGAGCACAATGTTAAAAAGGAGTGGTTAAAGTAAATAAACCTATTCTACTATTAGTTATCTGAAGCTAGAAGTCTGGATTCCTCTGCTGAAAATATTTGAATAACTAGTCACAAACCCCAATTCCCTAGGTAACTCAAACTAACAAGCAGGTAATTCGAAACTTACTCTGGAAACGTAAATGTTTTTTTCAACCAATTGGCACTTTAGCCTAGTTGAAAAGGCTAGGAGAACAAACAGGCATTAAAAAGCCAACTGCCAGTGAGACCTTGTGAAAAAACAGGTTCATAACTTATTCATCCCAGACGATTGTAATATTGGATAGGTCACCCCAAACAGTTTCATTGATCTTCAGTTACCCTCCAGTCCCCTATCCCCCAAAAACTTTAGTGAAAGACCGAAATAAGCCCCTCAACTATTGACAAAGCTTAAAAAGCTATGGCTAATCTCAAGGTACGGAAAGAAGAAAGATTTGATGGATTAACCCATGAGGTTTTCAAAGATGGTGGTCCTGTTTTAGCACTTAGACTGACAGAAATACTAGCTATAGTTTGAGAGCTGAACGTAATCCTATCTGACTGGCTAAGATCCCTAATGATTCCAGTTCATCAGAAAGAACTAAACTCCTGTTGCAGCAGTTAAGTGTCTAAAATATTAGCCCTATTGACTATCCGACACTCAAATAAGGTTCGCAAACTGCAAATATAGGATGGTTTCAGACTTGGATGTAGATGTATCGACCAAACGTTTACCCTACAGTAGTTTTCAAAACACAAGCATACCTACTGTCTTCCAACAATGATGGCGTTTCCTTATATGACGGTACTTGAGTCCGTAAACTGAGAGGTATGTTACCAAAAAATGCATCGAAGATGTACAAGAATTTTTTGAAAGCTTTTTACTCGAACGATAACGATGGTCAGAGCTTATGGCCGACTGTCTTCGGAGTTCTAAACTTCAAGTAATGTTCGCCAGGCCTGTCCACTAATTGGTTGGGGTTTGTGGAATAACCAGGACCAGTTATTGGATACATTTGGTGACATGTCTCAGAACTGCTCACAATATAGTAGATACATTTACCTTTTATCTTCCCTTAGATCTTGAATTATAAAATTATTTCATGCTTTTTATTCCTCCATTTCATTCTCGAATCATATTATATACCTTTATTCGTTTCTACCACCCCTGATAATGCTACTTTGGTGTTAATCAGGATTATGTCATCTCATTGTTCTGATGTAGTGTGGCAACTCCAACTTACATTTGGATACCAGTGAACTATAGCTCCTTTTTCTTTTCAGAATTGGCTACTTCAAAAGACAATCTTGTCCATCATATCACCCGATGAGTATATGTCCCGAGTTCTACACTACTTACGACTGACTGACTGAAACAACCTTGAACCTTTTTAGTAGGGCTTTCATTTCCATAAGTCTAAACCACATTCTGAGCATTTGTTTGTTGATAACTCAAACAGCCATATGCATGTGTAAAAGTATTTCGAATTTCAGTCGAACCAAAGTACCTAAATCAACTGATTAACAGAAGTCGTTTCTTCCTACTGAACTTGATGTTGCAGATAAGGCTGGGAAAGCAAGCTCAATTCCTCGAATATTCAACAATGAAACACACAGAGTCGCCATGCCACATTGAATTTCGGAATCAGATAGAACTAGCGTAATTGTACTCAAGGCAAAAGTAAAAGTTAAAGATGAAGAAAGCTGATAATCATCATGCTAAGGAAAGTGAATTTCAGAAAGAAGTATAGATACTGATGTCCAATAGAACAACTTACAAAACTTCTACTTGGACTTGCAAGTGCTTATTTCAACAGACGAAAACGTTTTAACCTGTTTATTAACCAATATTAGTGATTTTAAAGAGATGTTAATGTTTGAACGGGATTTTAACACAATGCTGTTCATTAGAGACATTAAAATTTAACCTTTTTCCAATTGAGACTTTGTTTTAAATAGAACAAGATCAATGAGATATTAGCAGACGTATTCAACAACCTAGCTTTTTAACTATAAGATAATTACAACTACTTTTATTCTAAACATTGTTCATCTGGCCTTAATAGCAGTGTGGAATTCAAGAACAAGTACAAAATAACCAAGATCGTTTTAAAACCAGTCATAAGTCCTGTGTGTGTACCATGTCAGCTGCATGTACACTGATTTTTATGCGGCACTTGAAGTTTTTTAGTCGCAAATCTAGACAATATTTTTGGTGTACTGAACTGTTTTGAACGAGTAAGTACTTATTTCCATTGAACATAACCAGCTGAAAACGATATTCATGGTTGATGAGTAGCTGGTGCACAATATTCAAAGCGAAAACATTCCAATGACTATGAAAGAAAGTCATAAAGTCTCATCGCCTACACAAAATAACTAATATACAGAGCGCTGAATATACAATACGTAAAACTCACTAGTAAGAAAGAGTACAATAACCACAGAGTTGATAATCGAGAACCAATGTAATTGGCCACTTGCTGTTTTGAGATAGATGTCCCAACGCGAGGCCCATTTTATGTCTGATGGTTCCCAAACAACTTCGCTGGTAAAATGTATTACGGTCTCCTTTCCGTCAATCTTTTTCCAATTGGCAATCGACATATCCGATTCCAAATTTTTGCACACCCCATTTTCCAAGTTCAGGTTTTTCTCAGAGATACTTTTAAAAATGATAACACTGAGGACTTACCTCATAGGTTCGATTTCAAAGCCGACAAAACGGTAGTGACCACTATGGAAATGTAAAATCAGTCAAGCTGACATACTCATCAGTTTGGTGGTATTGCAGTATAAACTTTAGATGGTTGTTAATATAAGCGACTCCATCTACAACTGACCCAAGTCTGTATCCGTGCTCATATCGAGAGGTTTTTCCGTTATCAGAAGACACTTTGGTTCCGCAAGGAAGGTTATCGATAGACCTTTACCAAGAAAACTAATTAAACAAAAAATTTAATTACAGATGAACAGAATACTGGTTTAAAATAAAATGCCTCAGGAGGACGGCATTAGCACCACTTATAGTGAAAGGTGGACAGACTTCAGAACAAGCTGTATTTTCAGCCATTTTTATCAAGTATGGAGTATTGACGACACGATCACCGCGAAGTATTTCACCTACATTGAGTTCCAATTAAAAATAAATCTATACCTATATTCTCCGGTGGGTACTCAACTAACTGCTTTGGACGACAAAATGGGAGTTTATAATACTCAAAAGGCAGTTGAGTTAAGTAGCTGGTCAATTTTACGGCCTGAATGTAAATTCACTTGATCAAAAACCACATCATACCTTGACCTCAATAGAATCCCCCTTATTAAACTCATTCGGCGTTACTCCAGGAACACTTACTGCTTCATTTGTTGACACAAAAGAGATGAAAATGAGAAGGCCGAACGCCAACATAGCTTCGACCTTGAGGCTTTTAAATAAGGTGCCATAATCAATGCACAAGTAGCTTGTTCAGTTCTAGGTACCAAGGATGGGTCTTTCGACCTATATTAATCCTTGCAGCTTGTAGAACTGTAGAGATTCAATCTCATTTTGAATATATCAACAGAAGGTGCTTATATTACGCGTTCTGAAAGTGAATTAAAGTAATTTACTAACAGGCGCCAGAAAAGAAAATCCAGCAGACATTTTGATCACGGATTTTCGACTCTCTTAGAATTTCGACTCAAGTTTTCAGTTGTAGACAGAAAGAAACGATAAGACATATTAACAACAAAGTGTGGCGTATGAATGAATACCTGATTCCTTTGTGATTGATGACTGCTTGATTTCGAATTACGAATACAATCCGTTCGTTCGTGCTAATATAGTTCTTCTTAGTTAAATCGCGTTATCTCTGGGTTTCTCAGTTTGTACCATAATTCAAACACTCCTAATTGTTACATTGTTGTTGCGATGGAGCCTGAGATGAAACAGTTGGACATTAATTCAATTCCTGAAGTTTTTGACAATTATTTAGAAAGATTTGAGATCTGGAGCATGACCAAGAAAGATGTGAAGAAAGACACATATCCTTACATTAATCGGTAAAGAAACCTACAGTTTATAAAAAACTTTAGCATATCCAGAAAAACCTGTGTCACTTCCTTACGCAACTCTCACAGAACTAAATCATGTGATGTGCACCAGTTTTGAATGTCGTGAAAGGGCAAAATTTCATAAGGCGATTTGCTAGAGTAACCAAAAAGCTAGGGAATTCATTTTTGAATTGCAAAGACAAGCTACCAAATGCAATTTTGGTGATCAACTTCATATGCAGCTGATAGATCGACTAATTGAGGGAACTAACACATAAAGTCTGGAAAGAGAGTTGTTAAGAGTGCCTTTCAAGATGTTAAAACTGCATATATTAACTACGAAGCAGTGAATGAACTTGATATCCTGTCGATGAAAATAGTTCGCTTAGTCGCCATGATGAAATACAGTCTCAGGGTCGATCAAACTTGCATTCGTTTTATAGTGATTCCTATTCTCGTGAAAATACGAAAGGTGACTCAACATAGAGTAGCTAAACAAACCATAAAGGTGACAGCAATCTTGTTAAATGTTTATCCTGTGGAAAATTTCATTCTCCTAATTCGTTTCGTCATGATACATTTTTTTAATGTGGTAAGATAGGACACATTCAGTAAACATGCAAGTCTACTGTTCACTTTACTTCAAGTAGTACTATACCTTGTTATTTAGATCCCATTAATTCGGCTGTTCCCAATGACCATTTGTGTTTATCCACCGTTTTGAAAAGTAATGTTCATATTCAAAGGCAATTATATACATCCCTTGGTTAATTTTATGGCTTTACTGTGGACAGAGACAGTATAGAGCTCTTGATTCTATTGCTTCTTCAACATTTAATGAATTGGAGGGGGGAGTAGGTACATTTCTACAGCAGTAAAGAAATGCTTAGCATTCTGTGATAAAAGAGACTCCATGATAAATATTTAAAGAAAGAATCGTTCGTTCAAATATGAGGTGTTTGGAGTCTGCAGAAGTTACATATTTTCGTGGAAATGATCTTCGACCAGCCACGGAGATTGTGGTAAAGAATGTTTGGAATTCTATGGTGCGAATTCTGGATATCACTGACTTGAATATATATAACCGACATGTTGATCAAATACGATTCCAAGACCCAGGTGAGTCCGTTTCGATTTTGGTTTTTTATTTTAATACTAATGAGTAAATTATAGACTATAAAGAGTCTACAGCCAATACACTGTCGGACAGATATAGGATGAACTTAAGGAGAAAATGTAAAAATGAATACAGAAACTTAGACTCCAATTTAAGCTGTGGCGGATGTAGTGTATATATGAACTAATAATTTCTTTGTACTTGATGACTGCTTGATTTCGAATTCCAAATACAATACGTTCATCCGTGCTCATATAGTTCTCAGTTAAATCGCGTTATTTATGGGTTTCTTAGTTCGTACCGTATTTCAGATACTTCATATAGTCACACAATTTAAACATTCAGTTTACGATAAGTCAATGTTTACTGACATCCTAATCCGTATTAGGATGACTTAAATAACTTGAGATGTCTCGCTCTGTCTTTATAATATAGGCCAGATAGACCGTTTACCGTTTTAGTTCCTTATACTTGAAAGAAGGACTCGTTGCTCGAATCTCATATTCTAAATGCAGTCCCACGGAAGTCAGGTATAATACTATAAACACTTCTTCGTCCAACTACTGGAGGGATGTGCGAATATTCCACAGTACACTAAAGCCTTTGGCAGAAGCAGTTTTGCAGTTGCTCGTAGTTTTGAGTTCGCGGCAGAACATGTTAAATTACGGCTCCTTATGGCCAAGTGGGATGTCACGAACCAACGGTATTGATGCTGATTTATTTATGCAAAATACCTTTATGAATCATGTTTAAAATGCTGAATTGTTCCCATATCTTACCGAGTAATCCTATTACAAGCAAACTAGACATTCCACTAAAAGCTAAACCTGCTCAATTCTTTTTGAAAATTGGGCTCAATCAGCTTCGACGAAGAAGGGAGACAGCCATTTGTGTATCAGAATACTGTTTTCAGCACTATATTTTATAACTACACATAATTCCATACTTTCGACTCCTTTCTGAACCACCTTCATTTTTATAGTTCCTCATCCACTCATACCATGTTTACACTTATTTTCTTCTTATTATTATTATTCTTATATCAGAATTCTCTTGCTTAATATGTACCTTAATAATAAGGAAATAGACTAAACGGTTATACCTTAAATATTACTACACCAATATTGTTTGCCCGACTTCTCGTCCTTCCTTTTTCTTAACCCTTTCTCAGCCCCCTTGAGATACGCCACTGACAACGTATATAGAACGAGTGACTTCGTCCTGCACCATTATTAAAGCCTCGGATATTCCAGAGGGATATAAGGTTGCCTCCAACTTCACATGGATCGCTTCTCGACCATCAGTTGCATGTCACAATGCAGCCTTCATAAAGCGCGTTAGTTGTGATAATGTCAATACGTTTCTTATCAAAACCATCTGCATTCATATCTTATAAAGTATCAACCCAGCTGAGTAATTTACTACAGTGAAATTTGTAACTTCTGTAACAATTTGATCTTGCATGTAAACTGGCATGCCTCATGTAAGAAACTGTTATTTGATAATAAATTATTATTATTATGACTCTTAAGTCTTTTTGGTCCATTACATTGTGCAACAGAACTCCGCCTATTGTGTAGTGATGCAAATTCTCATAGCTATTTAATTGTATCACCGCACTCTTTTTGAAATTCACTCCTATTGGCCATCCGTTCATTCATGCTACCAATGAATTGAGATCATCCTGTAATACTATTCTACCTGGCATACTATGTATGGGTTTCCAAATCTTTATGTCATCCGCAAAGAGTAGAACGGATGACTTTGTTGCAGTCGGTAATTCATTTACATAAAGTAAAAAGAGAAGAGGAACAAGGATTGCACCTCTAAAGACTCCATTTTTACAGGCTCCCACGCTGAGAGAGCTCTATTTACCGTTATCCGCTGTCTCCTATCAACGAAAAAGTCACTTGTCCAGTCTGTTACCTCATAATGGATTCCAAAACATTCCAGTTTTAATTGAAGACTCGAATGGGAGAACTTATCAAAGGCTTTACTTAGATCTATGAAAATTACATTTACTGTAATATTTTGATCTTTTGCTGCCGCCAAATCTTCTCTTGCAACAAGCACATTTGTCAAACTTGATAAGCCTTTTCGAATACCATATCATTCTCTGAATAAAAGACTATGCTCTTCCACGTAGTTCCTAACAGACATTCGAATAATCTTTTCCACTATATTGACAACTGCATTGGTTAAACTAACGATTCAATATTACTAACTAAGTCTCTGCTCCCCACTTTATGCCACGGACTAGTTATTGCAACTGCCACGGTAACATACAAAACAGTATGGCCGTAGGTTCAGAAATGACACCCAACATGTCACTCATAATCCTACGATGAATATCGCCAGAACCACTGAATATATCACGTGTGAGGTGTCCAGTTCGCCCTTTTATATACGGCAACAACCGTTCCGGACTATTTTTACGATCACTTACCAATTGTTTTACATATGAATGTCTAGTCTTACTTATCAACGCTTAACAAACATTCCTAGTCTTACTTACAAAAACTGAATATGTACTGTTCTTAGATAGTAGAGATGAACATATTCTAATGTTTTCTCCTGCATCTAAGAAGTTCCTTGACTTGTTTAGCTACCCATGATAGACGGTTATTCAGTCTACGTGATACTAGGCATGGTATAAACGAAGAAGTAACTGAACTAAGCTTGTCTTCAAATATAGACCATGCTTCTTCAACTGATAAGTTAGTATCTACTGACCAATCTGTCTTAGCAGCGCACTCCTGAGCGGCTGATATATTAACTCTCTATGTATTCGGGAGAGGCTTAACATGATCGTATATCATGTCACAAGCTCTAAACGTAAATGACAAAACGGCGTGATCGCTATTCATTAACGGTGGAAGAATATTTAGATTGACAATATACTCAATTGCATGAGTGATTATCAAGCCTAACAAAGAGGAACCTTGGTTTACACCAAAACGTATGGGTTTGGGTGCATGTTTTACTGGAGCACGCTCCATTACCGTTATCAGGAACCTACTATCAAAGGAGTTTACAGATCCTACAGTGGCCATCTCAGTCCAACTAGTATCAGGTGCACTAAAGTCTCCTAATATCAAACATCTGTTATTTGCACTCCATAGCTGAATGTGAACCAAGATAAAGTCATCAGATAACCAGATTGGGCTACGATAAATGACATCAAGTATAAATGTACAACATCCGATAGTGAGTTTGATGTGTGGGCGAGAATGTCAATGATTGGTTGTCTCGATGAGTCAGACATTAGAGGGGATGACAGGTGTTATGTGTTAT